TTTAGTCAACAATTTAAAAATCGGAACTATTAATCAAAATTACAGTAGGGCCATTTACCCTTCGCCCAGCAAATTAATTTTAGCCCATAGAAAAACTAATTATTTTTTATTGTTATATTAAATTAATAAACTATACTTATATAAAAGTCAATTTTCTAAAATATTTGTTTTTAGTAAACACCCGTGTTTTTAAAGAAAAATATAGGAATTTCTTTGGGCTAAAGTACATTTACTGGGCTAAGGTTCATTTTCCCTACTGTAGCTAGTTTAATTATTTTTTTTAACTTTACATTGTATTGTGATTTTTTTAGCTTCGATTACCCCAATTTTATTTATTTCAAAAATGCACAATGAAATTAAAACCATATTATAAACTGTATTTCAAAACTCTGTACCGTTTCCAAAATTTATAAAAACCCTTTGTCCTAGTTTCCCATTATTTACTGTTTTTTATTTGTTATATTTTTTATTTTCCTTTTTATTGGACCAACAACGGTACACAGTTTAAAACCCTTAAAAATCAATACAGTTTAATTATTAAATAATGAAATGAAAATTCACCAAAATATCGGGTAAATCTTTACCCGATATTTTATATACATATTATATATATAAACCTGAAAATATATACCAATTTTCCAGGTTTGTTATTTGTTTAGTGATCCATTTTGTAACTAAAAGTGAGCAAAACAACATATTTCTAACAAACACAATATAATACAAAATAAAAAAATAATAAACGATGTGATAAAGGACACGATTGCATCAAATAATGCAACAATTTTGCTAATAATAAGTTTTTGTTCATTTCAACAATAAAAATGGCCATCGATAACATAAAACGACAAACATTTAAAAACAAACAAGGTCTCTAATTACTACAGTATATAATTAAATTAACAGTTAAAAAATAAAAAATAAAACTTTTCAACTGTAAAGTCTTAAACTATTTTTATGATGCTGGTATTATTCATTAGTACTTTTCATTTTTATCTGAAACACAACTTAGTAATTCTGTAAAAACTGGCATCGAATTATAAAGTCTTGTTTTTGTTTTTTGGCAAAATTTGTGTTATGGTAATCAAAAAATTAATCCCAAGTTTGTTTTTTATATTTTTCAAGTAAATTTTTGGTGCAAGATTTATTTGCCAAGTAAAATTGAAAAAATTCAGGTTCTTTATTTTATTTTTTTCGAGTAAATGTTTATAACAAAAAATGAGGGTTAAGCAAAGTAAAATTATTTAGGAATGACAAGTCCAATAAATTGGGTCATCCCAGTACAGAGTTTTGAAAAACAGTTTACCTTAATTATTAAGACAAACAACAAAAGTCGATTCAAAGTATATTCTATTTCACTGGAATAACAAATATTAAAAACATAAACCAATGTTTAAACACATTTTTTGGATCGAACAATTACAAAAAGATACCCCGTTCGTTCCTATACAAATGAAACTCACTTCGGACAGCATCTCATACAATGGCAATCAAAGGACTGGATTCAAGTATCTAAGTATACCAACTTCTATTTGGCTGAGACCAAAAAGATATTAACAGTTGTCACATTTAAATAAATACATGAATACCATGGAAATGGTAGTAAATACTATGCATCAAGAGGATAATGAACCAAGGGTTCTGTTGGTGTTGTTACACAATGGCAATTGCCTAAATTTAACAAGCGGATTATTCGCATATCAGTGAAACTAAAAATGCATACATCATAGTCATCATCAAGTCGAATGCTCAAAGGCGCTCGCAATGGTAATTGTCCATTAAAAGAAAAAAACATCTTTGTAAATTAATTCAGTCTTTGAACCATCATTTTTTAGGTTTGACATTTGAATGTTAATAATTTTAATTATGGTTAAGTTAATAATTATAATTTGTTAAATTTCAAAAAAATAATTACCATTTTAAAAATATTTTTAATTTTAATTAAAACAAATGTTTATACAATTTGTTTTTAATTTTTTTTGTAATTTTTGATATCAAAAAACTTAATAAAAACAACTTGTTATCAATCAGATGCAAACCAATTCAAAATAGTGGATAATCAGAATATACCACAATAATGTTTAAATACCCTCCTATCATTTTTTGACATAAAAACACAATAAAAGAGAAATATTATAATTATAATTATTAAAATTTTTATGTCACATTTTGCATTTAAAAGTATAGCAACTGCTATAATTCGTTTTATGTTTAAATAGTAAATTATTATTTATGAAAAATAAATTGTAATTGATGTTTAACACACTTCTAAAGTGTGAACAACGTCTTCTATTTTTGGACGATTGTTCATATCCTGTTTCCAACATTCAGAGATGATGTTGAAAATGTTATCACTCATTGATGGATTTTTGTTCACACGCTTTCCAGAAATAACGAACTCAGCTATTTTCCATGGAAATTTGAATTCATCTTTTGGGTACGCCTCACACCACCCAACACACTCGTATATTGTTACTCCAAATGAAAAGATGTCAGCACTCATCTTGTACTTTTCTTTTTTCAACACTTCAGGTGCCATATAAGTCGGTGTTCCAATACCTTTAGTGAATGTCATGTTAGTCATCAACAAGTTGACGTTTCTACTACTTCCAAAATCAGTCAATTTAGCATTAACCTTTTCAATAGTCTCCAATGAAAAGACTAAAATGTTGTCTGGTTTGATGTCTCTGTGTAGTATTCCATTTTCGTGTAAATACGATATTCCTTTAGCAGCGTCAAGACAAATTTTCACTCTTAATTTCATGTCAATTTCATTCGAAGTTTTGTGTTTCATCAAGTCTTGAAGACTTCCATACGTCGCAAATTCGGTGACCATACACACTTTATTACGTGCAAAGACAGCGCCATAGAAGTGAACGACAAATTCACTTCTGAATTTGTCTAACATCTGAACTTCCTTTTCAAATTCTTCCATTGACTCTTCATTGTGTTCGACTTCTTTCATCTTTTTAATTGCTACTTTGTTTCCAATGTAATTCCCAATGTAAACAACACCGAAGGAGCCTTCACCTATCTTCTTTTCACAAATAACTTCTTCGGCATCAAGGTGACTCGACTTCTCACTCTCAAACTTAATGGGAAAATTGAGGGACATCTGCTCACCCTTCGACATATTAAGAAGGACAATTGCAATGGTTTCGCTTATGCTACATGTGCAAAGAGGTGTTACAAATATTTCAAATTCAACAGCTTTCCCAGATGACAGTGTTGCAAGAGATGGAGTTACCCTGATGGTGTATTTTTCACTTGTCGTTTTGTATGTAAGTTGGACTTTCACAGTGTGTTTCGAGTTGTTTCCAACACAGAGGAGGTCACGACTTGGTTTGTCAATTGGAAGTGAACAAATTGTATCAAAGTCAACAGAGAAGTCAAGTGATGTTTTGTTCAACGTGACTCCTGGGGAATATTCAATAAAGTTAATGTTCGACTTTTTCATTGAAAATTCGCATGTGGTCTTTTGAAGTATTTTCTTTGATTTGTGTGATTTGTAAAAGAGACACACCACAAATATAGTGATTATTAATACTATCATTATAATGACTGTAATTACAACGGGAAGTGCAATTGAAAGCGTTTTGTTTTGATGTTTGAAGCAACTTAATTTATCAATTGAAAGGTCGTATTTTGTG